TGCTGAAGGACAGGTTTTTTGCACTGTATGACCCACAGGATCTACATATGAAAATATGATAATATTGTATGCATGTATGCAATAATCATTCTCTTTCTTGCCAGACTGTGCTGTACGTATTTAATTATATTCACTCTAAGATTTTGTTTTAGACCAATATTATGAACCTTTCTCTTCTCTTATGTGGGTCTATAGAAGTCAAGCCAAAATATTGATGAAAGTACTGTACAGCAATTAATCTAACACAATGTTTGAGACTATGATTGGTCTCCAAGGTATCACAGTTTTCTTCTGCATTTTAAAGACTACAATCTCAGTTTTATTTTATTCTTGATGGCTTCTTATTTAACAATGTTTAAGACAAAGCTTAGACTTAAATATCTTGAAGACAATAGATTTTGAGATTTTGTTCTACCGGATATTATTTTTCTGTAAATATTTAACACAGTTACAACTGACAGAGCAGGATTACCAAACTATGGTATTCATATCATCAATTTCATAGTGATAATCATCATATAATTTCAAAGCAACAAATATTTAGGGAAGATCTTGGAGCAGCTGTTGGTGATACCTACCAGGAAGACCACCTAATAGGGAGAGCAATACAGAACACAACCACCATTGTCAAAGGTGCTACATGGCAAGCAAAGTTAATTCCTTCTCTAGAATACATAATCAGATACTGTGCAATCGTATTTGTTTCAAGTCATAGGTGGTTTTGCTTGCAAACTTCTAGCCTGCTATTCGTTATTAGAAGAGCAACACTCCTGCTCCCCAAACCCTTAGTTTGAAATCTAATATAATAAAATAAAACTATGTAGGTATCTGAATAATATATGTGTAGGTATAGGTATACATATACACACATATACAACCTTCCAGCTTGTTCTGAAGCATCTGCATGTTTGTTGTATGGAATGGGACTGACAGATGGATGTAGAAATGTGTCTGCACTTGTTTGAAGAATACATACTACTTCAATACTACCACTCTGTTACCAATAAGGAAATCCTCACATAAGAAAGAATATAAATATTACACTCCATTTTTTATCAGATTTCTGCTATAGGCTTAATAAGTAAAATACCTCCCTGTTTCCAAATTAAGACTATGTTAGGAATAAGAGTCAATAAGATAATTTCATTTCCTTTACTACATTTCCAAAATACTAGATTACTTTATTTCATGAGAGATATTTCCACACTTAGCATTATCACACTTTTTCCAGGGATCAAAATGGTCACTATCATATTAACACTTTGCTGACTTAATTTCTAAATAAAATCCTTATACCATTTTTTACTTTAAGGGCAATTGCCACCATTTACTAGGTTACATAAGAGACAAAGTACGGTTAAAATTTGCTATGAACATTTGTGTAAGGCCTTTAATATGAGCCTTAATATTTGCACAAGTCAAGAACATATTGAAAACACTTACCTGGAATCGATAAAAGGTGCCATCATCCTTTAGTGTTAGAACATGGTCTGAGATCGGAAAGAAATAGCCATGTGCTGCCATTAGTGTTCCCAAATGTAATGCTTCCACTGTTCGAAGAACAAAAGAAAGATAAATTTAAAAAATTAAATAACTTCTTTTCAGCAGTTTAGTTTTCTTGTTCAGATTCACCTTACCTCCTACAGATAACCACTTGACTCTCAGTCAAGGTCCTGCCATCATGGAAGTGCTGACTTTTTCTACGTAATATAATGATGCAATAACAAAAAAATCCCTTTACTCTCCTTAACAAATGGCTATTAGATGTCCCATTTGTAGCTGCAGTTCCACTACTTACACCAGCATTAGCAGGTAGCTACCACAATGTTCACTCACTTGTTTTGAAGCTGAAGGGAGCAAGAAAGGAGATCTGGACAGTACTTAACTGAGAGCACATAACCGTACCAGGGTTTATTTGATACCCAATAATCCTTGTGTTCTCTGTGTTTGGCAAACTGGTTCCTCCCCTCCAGCAGAGCCATTATCTACGAAAATCCAACACACCCTCTCCAGCAGTGAGCTCTCTGGTCTGCTACAAAATGCCACAATCCTGTTAACAAGCCTTCTTCCAATCGCAAGTCTACAAGAAATCTCTCTAATAGAAAGCAGGTAGTTGCTTTGCTCCTTGTGCTTGAGATGTCTGCAAATCCCCATCTGAACTTTATCCTAATTAATGTAAGTCCATATATTGCTGTTATTCATTTATTTCAAGCCACTAAATTCTATTATCTCTTGGATCGGAAATTTTGAGTCAATGCTTTCTGTAGTGAGTCAGTTGCTGAGGTTCTTTTCATTTTGGTTCACTTCGTCTACCTTTTAATTTTATTAAGCTTTTCTTTGTTCTTCACACTGCAACTTATTGCCAATTCCAAAAACTTTATTTTTGCAGGTGTTATGTATCTTCGTGGAATGAGAGAAAAAACAAAGGAAGAAATGTGCTGACATATTTTAGAGAAAGGATTTCTTAGATAAGGGTTACAGAGCTTGCCAGGGACATCTGATGCAGACGAGAGTGCATTCTCTTCAGATTTAGCAGAAACTAAATAGGCTCCAGATTTGTTTCATATTCTTCCTGGATTCTGAATTGTAATATTTTTCAAGAGCACAAGGAGCTCACTTTATTCCCCTTTACCCAGTGTCGTGGTTTAATCCCAGCTAGCAACTAAGCACCACCTAGCCACTCGCCCACTCCCCCCCAGTGGGATCGGGGAGAGAATCAGGAGACTAAAAGTGATAAAACTCGTGGGTTTAGATAAAGACAGTTTAATAGGGAAAGCAAAAGCCGCGCACACAAGCAAAGCAAAACAAGGAATTCATTCACTACTTCCCATTGGCCGGCAGGTGTTCAGCCATCTCCAGGAAAGCAGGGCTCCATCACACGTAACGGTTACTTGGAAAGACAAAAGCCATCGCTCTGAATGTCCCCCCCTTCTTTCTTCTTCCCCCAGCTTTGTATGCTGAGCATGACGTCATATGGTATGGAATATCCCTTTGGTCAGCTGTCCCAGCCGTGTCCCCTCCCAAGTTCTTGTGCACCCCCAGCCTACTCGCTGGTGGGGTGGGGTGAGAAGCAAAGAAGGCCTTGGCTCTGTGTAAGCACTGCTCAGCAACGAAAACATCCCTGTATTATCAACACTGTTTCCAGTACAAATCCAAAACATAGTCCCAAACAAGCTACTATGGAAAAAATTAACTCTATTCCAGTCAAAACCAGCACACCCAGGAATCTTTAGACCACACCTGGACTACTATGTCCAGTTGGGAATAATATGTCCACTCCAATATAAAAAAGACATTAACAAACTTGAGTGAGTCCAGTGGAGGATCACCAAGATGGTTGGGGCTGGAGAACGCACCCTGCAACGAGAAGCTGGGGAAGCTGGGCTTGCTCGGACTGAAAAAGAGAAGGTTTTGGGGGTGACTAGCAGCACCCTTCCAATGCCTAAAAAGAGATTACCAAATGAGGGAGCCAAGATCTTTATGGAGTTGCATGGCAATTAAAAAAAAAAAAAAAGAAAAGAAAAAGAGACAATGGTAATAAACTAAACAAGGGACAGTTCTGACTTCAGCCAAGCAGCAGAAGAGCCTGCCCAGAGAGGCTATGCGTTCTGCATCCTTGGAGGGTTTCAAGACCTGAATGACTAAAGTCCTGGGCAACATGTTTGACCTTACAGTCGACCCTGCTTTGAGCAAGGGATTGGACTAGAGTCCTCCTGAGGTCCCTTTCAATCTGAATTATATTACAACTCTGTGACTCTATGTGGGTCAAGTAGAAGTGGAACAAGGAGCAGAAAAAAGGGATGGAGACAGTTGGAGAAGAAATTATTTGAAAGCTCCTGCCAGAGCAGCCTATAATCCTGACAAGGTTGGTTATGGTGGGAGTAAGAGCTTATATTTCTCTCACTAACCACTGAGTCATATATGCAAGTATATAGTCACTACTAGTTCTCTATGCAAAAAATGGGAGAGAGCGACCTGGCCTTCTCCAGAAGCCAATTAAGGTTATTTAAGATCTGAGTCATTCCCAGTAGGAGCCTGTATCTCTTTTTCAGTTATGTATGGAGACTAAGGTGGTTTTACTCTCACCCCAGGCAATCTCATTCAGCTGGGATGAATCTACACTAACTCAATGTTAAGGTATTTCTCTGTCCCTTTAGCCATTAAGAGTTAATAGGGACATATAAACTTGTCACAACTCTTCTTCTTTCTTCAGCTAATAGACAATTAATTTTCATTTTTTATGGCTATCAATCCAACAACTTATTCCAGCATTGCATAAATATAAATGTACAAATATACCTTTTTAATATCAACCTAAGACCCACTGTAGCTCACACTTGGGAATGTGAGCAGTATCTGCTTTATTGAAAGAAAAAAAAAAAAGAAAAGGAAAAAAACCACACATGGAATAAGAATAAAGACATTCACTTGAAAGTCTAAAATCTTATCCATTGGCATCATCTGACAATGGGGCAACTGCATAACCAAAGCATGATCAATAATCTTTGCACAGAGATTGAATAACTTATAAATCAAATACAGCTCAAACAGGTGAAAATGTCCACAAAATTGTAACCCTGCCTCACATCAGACTGGTAGGGGACTAACGTTGCTGCTCTCTGCACTGCAGCAGTAGAACTTCTGCACAGAAAGAAATCTGAGCTCTCAGGAGGTTTCTAATCTCCAAGCAAGAAGTTGTCCACTGTATTAAAGACATAACAAAGGCAACACTTTGATATACATCTCAATTTGCTAAAACCAGACTGAAAAATGAATACTGCAAGAAGCCAATGAAGTAGAACAGTAGGATTTAGGAAACAAAACCATGAGCTTGAAAAGGAAAATGTATCCAGCAGCAGACTAGTCCTACATGCCTAAATGCCTAGAAGTTCAATTCAGACAACTTCTGCATCCCCCAGCTATTCCTGCATGTGAAGTTAGGGGATTTTCACTTAAAGAAGCACGTTTCATCTGAAAGAATGGCAGATGGAGATTAGGAACATCAAAAACTTCTATGAAGTGCATTAGTTAAGAAGAAAAAAGAAGACTGAAAAAATACTTTTAAATATAAAGGTTCCCAGGTATAAAGAGTAATGTTTACATGTATTCAGAATACAAATTCAGAAAAATTGGAGAAACATAGACTAAAAGCAAGAAAATACTGGAGTTTTAGACGAAAGTGTACACAGACACATGCAGAAGTGTGATATCTACACAACTATTATTTCCCAATCTTCAGCCACTGTGTGTAAGAATATGCAATCTAAACTACATTCTCAGTTACACCCAGATAGCCTCCCTGAGAAGGCATAATTCAAATCGCAGTCAACTGCTGTACAATAAATAAAAACTGCAGCCAGAGACATCACGCAAAAAATCTGAGGAAGACAAAGCTCATGGAGGTGTAACTGGTAGAACAGAGTAGACTTCAGCTTCCTCTGTTCTTGACTGCTTGTTTTGGAGACATCAATTATCTGAACTGAGGTTCCAGGTATACTTCCTAGCAGTGATACTGCTGAAAAGTGGAATAGCATATTCAAGAAACAAATTTACCCAAACCACTGTTTTAATTTTTCATAGCTAAAAAAGGACAGTGTTGCAAGTTATAACAGCTAATGGAAAAGAAATGCCTCAGGTGAAAGAGAGAAATACGTCTTTATAAGCCTGTTGCATTTCAACAGGATATGAAATATTTTATATAAATTCAAAATGTTGCTGTGGGTGTAGTTTTGATTCTTAATGTGTATGTTATTGGTAGGCTAAAAGCTCAGAAAAAGCTTAAAATTCCATGGTTCACTCTGCTGTTGAACTTTACTTAGCTGAGTGGGTGAAGTGAACAACACATGTACATAGATTGATTAGCAATCATTTTTGTAAGTAATATTGCCCAGCCATCTGCTGTGCCATTACAGGGAGAGTGATCTTGATGGATTAAATGCTAGTCACTTTTAATATACTTTGTTATACAAAAGAGTCAGACATTTTCAATGCTCTGGGACAATGCAAACCTGATAAAATCTAAAGAATGAAAAATATAACCTGGTTGTTGAGTTTTCATTTTATTTTCTTTTTAAACATAGTTCAGTTTTCTCTTTACTGTAATAACTATTGTATGGATTGATGATAGTTCGTTCATCTTAAATTGCAGGGTATGGTAATATCAGTGGAACAAGTTGTTTCTTATGATAACATCCACAGGAGGGGATTAAAAACGATGGACATTCCTTTTTTTCTTTGGAATAAACATGTTTCTGTGCTTTGAAAGCCCTGAAAGGATATGTTTCCAGTGATTAGTGTGGATTCCACTTTTCCTTATGCATCTCAGGGCTTCACGTGACGTGGTCTCTATATTTATATTTACTCTGAAGTCCATAAAACACTTTATAGTATCATATCGTTATAGTTACAGCCTCACAACATCTGAAGTGGCTTGCAGTAATCTCTGAGGGACTGAGGAAAGGAAAACAGGGTGTTTTCCAGTTCTGCTCCACTTTAAAATGCCATTTTTCAGAGTCTATTTTATGCTCTTTTGTGCAGCTCAGTCCTGGAGAAAGATTTCCTACAAGGAATGTGGCTTGGGGCATTTTGTGTCCTTAAGATTGCTATATGATGTAAGTGACAGTGAAAAACCCAAACTTGCAAGTTTTACATATACTTTTTGATACAAAAATGTCAAACAAATGAAAACCTCCCTTTCCATCAAATAATAAAGTCTTTGTTATTCTGGGTTATTTGTCTAATCTAAAATCCATCACAGTACTGAAGTGCATTGCTAAGCCACATAGCTGCCTGGAAAAAAAATTGATGAGTCAGAACTTCACAAGCACACATTCATTTTAAGTGTCGAATGCCAAGACATTATCACTTATTCTCACCTCACTCCTGCTGTCATTTCATTGCCAGTGTGAACACAAGATGCAAAGGATTAACTTTAAGTTAAAGTAATAAAATACAACCTGCTTCTCATGCTCACACAAAGCGTAGGAGAGACTCACTCTCTGGGCCTGACTGTGGCATTTAAAAAGGGGAAAATAAAACAGCTAGAAAAGTTCTTGAACACCCACGTCACTATAAACCTCTCTCTTTTGTCCCATCTGAAGGATCGAATTTGCAAAGGGAGCACCACTCAGTGGAAGTCATTTCAGGGAGGGAAAACAGTTGGTGAAGAAAGAGGTACTATTTACCCAAACACACTTAAAATGAGATTCGTGCTTGATTCCAAGATACCCATCACAAACCAAATTATCTGTCACCACAGCAGCTTACCTAAATAGGTACGACTTTGCTTGTGCTGTGCGCTAGGCAGTGGCTGCTGATGCCATCAGCAGGCCAGAGGCATCGGTAGGAACAAGTAAGGGGGAAAACCTGTCAGAGATGTGCCATGAATCCTCATCCGCCCAAGGAACGGTAACGTCCACCCTTACGATTTGAGCTGATCTATAATGTAAGGTGTTACTTATACACATATCCCCAGTCTAGAGACAATGATGTATACCTGACACATCAACTACTTTGTTCACAAAAACGTTCAGCAAACTGGAGACACACTACCAGTCTTGCCTTGTGTGCTCACAGGATGTGGATGAATTGCGACTGACCTAAACGTCTGACATAAC